GGAACATGTGGTAATGCTCTGTTGAAATATTATTGATGTTGGATTAGAAAGATAGAACAATACAAAAAGATGACTAGTTGTTTTTTTTTGTTTTCTCTTCCTCCCCACCCCCTCAAACAAAGGGCTTTTCTGTATTAGCAGTAAGTCTTCTTTGACAACTGACATATGCTTGATTTAGGGAAATTGAAAATTTAACTCTTATGTTCTTGGAATTCTCTCTTTCTCAAGTTATGGTGTCTATTTGCCCTTAATGCCAATTGTGTAGGTTTTCGATGGTGTTGTAACATGCTATAAGGATGTACGCTTTTATTGATTTGCTAAGGTAGGTGTGTTTCAATATCGTAGAGACTCATGTTTCTTGAAGGGCAACACTCCACTCCTTTTCAAACAAGTAGAGCAATAGTAATTTGGTTATGTCTGTAAGTTGACAGCAGCATGAGCAGTAGTTGAGTATGTTCATGCATAATAAGGAATGAATTGTTCAACAGGTGATGTGACCGTCATTTATTTTGCATTGTTAATGATCCTGCTTCCCTGTTTGATGATGTGACACATTACTATAATGACATGATATTGCATTTACGTATTCCAAGAATTGGAAGTCATTAAACAAATAAAAATTATAAAAATCATTTAATTTGTAGGGTATGTCCAATAACTAACTTATCTATTCTTCTGCCACCATTAAATTCAATTTAGTATGTACGTTATACTTAACAATGTGTTAGTCAAAGTAATTTTGTTAAACTTTTAGCAAATCAACATGTAGTATCTGTATCACACAATTTCCATAAGCAGGGAAATGACTGCTTTTTCTTGTGCTATTTGCTCAAAGTCCTTTTATTTAACTGAATTTGGTTTTAAAAGAAAAAAGATACTTTAATTAAATTAAAGATGAAGATTGAGCTATTGATAAATGAAATAACGGATTGTAGCTGTCATAAAAGAAATTCATTTCTTACAAGAAAATTATGATACTTGTTTTGCACTATGAACTGCTTTCTATATCTGTTACTGTTTTCTTCCTCTTCCTTTTTGTTTTGTTTTGCATGGTGGGTGGGTGGATGGGCTTGATGATATGCTTCCTTTATTTACCGACACTTTTGTTATTACAGCCTCTCTGCCCTTCCAGGGGTAGGGGTAAGGCTGCATACATCTTACCCTCCCCAGACCCCTCTTGTAGGAAACTACTGGGTTTGTTGTTGTTTTATTATTACAGATTTATTCTTTTGTTCTTTTCTGATATTATTGTCTCGTCTATTGAGCCGAGGAGCCGAGGGTTTCCCGGAAACAGCCTCCCTAACCCCGGGTAGGGGTAAGGTCTGCGTACACTCTACCCTCCCCAGACCCCTCTTCTAGGAAACTACTGGGTTTGTTGTTGTTTTATTATTACAGATTTATTCTTTTGTTCTTTTCTGATATTATTGTCTCGTCTATTGAGCCGAGGGTTTCCCGGAAACAGCCTCCCTAACCCCGGGTAGGGGTAAGGTCTGCGTACACTCTACCCTCCCCAGACCCCACTAGTGGGATTCTACTGGGTTGTTGATGTTGTATTTCTGTGTTCATCTTGAAGGTTTTAGCAGAGGATGCAAGTACCTCGCACGCCTTTTTTCTTTAAAAATCAGTATGTGAATTTATTTCTTGACCCAAAAAAAAAAAAAACAAATTTTTTTCTGTTTGTTTATTGAGTACCTTATTTTCACAAAAAGAATTTACTTGTAGAATCTGGTTGTTAGTTCCTACATTCCTAACACACTTCTCTAATCAAGATTTCTACAGGTTTGAACCAACAACAAAATGAGCCATTAAAAGAAGTTCAAGACCAAAGTCATCCACAATTGGTAGCAACTTCATCTCTAGCTAAGCACGAGATGGCATCATCAAAAGAACTGAGTTTATCTGCACCTATAAATGTTGATGATTCTTCAAAAGAAGAGAGTCTATCTGCACCTATTAATGTTGATGCCATGAATATGAGAGGTCAATCTAATACAAGCATGCAAGTTTCACTTGCTGATCATAAAGATGTATCATCAGTAACTGCTGAGAGATCATCAGATGATGGGTATAACTGGCGAAAGTATGGCCAGAAACTTGTAAAAGGAAGTGAATTTCCAAGGAGCTATTACAAATGTACATACCCAAACTGTGAAGTGAAAAAGATATTTGAGCGATCACCTGAAGGACAAATAACAGAGATCGTTTATAAAGGTTCTCATGATCATCCTAAACCCCAACTGAGCCGTCGATTTACTCCTGGTGCTCTCATGTCCATCCAAGAAGATAAATGTGAGAAAGTAGCTCTTTTAGTATTGTTTCCCTCTCGATGAGCATAAAGTGGTAATTTTGAAAAAAAAAACTTAATTTTATTCTGAGTCAATCTTATCAATTCTCAGTCTTTGTTGAGGACAAGTTCAACGCCAATGCCCAGACCAGTAAAATTGAGCCCATTAGTACTCCCGTATCACCTCAGCAAGTGGATGCTGATGGTCCTGAAGGGGCAGTTTCACAGATGCAGGGCACTAATGATGATATGGATGAGGATGATCCATTTGTGAAAAGAAGGTAAAGCTAATGGAAAGCCTTCAATATATTCCTGCTAATAGATCTGATTAAATGGTTAAAACTTTAAGCAGGAAAATGGATGGTGCAGTGGATATAACACCAGTGATTAAGCCTATCCGTGAACCACGCGTTGTCGTTCAAACTGTCAGTGAAGTTGATATATTGGATGATGGGTACCGGTGGCGCAAGTATGGACAGAAGGTGGTCCGAGGCAATCCTAATCCTAGGTATGCAACACTTTATGGTTTGTAGTTACTTGAACATATGACCTTGTGTTACGTGAATGTCATGTACACAGACACTTAAATGTGGTATGCAACAAGTATTTGACAAAGGTCATTACTGGTTGTTGGTTAGTCTCTAGAGTAGTCATCTAAAACGATCAAGTATTTGGTGGGTGTGTAGTCTTAGAAAATATGATACTTGTGAAATCATGCCCTTCTCCTGATGAGAGGCAAAAGCCTAAAAGAGACAATAGGATCCTAAATCCATCAATATCCAAGATATTGCCGTTTTTGGGTGTTTAATAGGAATTAGAGACCACTTATCGTTAAATTTATCAAACATTCGCATGTATCAAGGTTTATCCAAACTAATCAACATACATTACAATTCTTATAAATCTCTCGTAAGCTTTTGTAACACGTCCATGCCTAGAGGGATGCTCTATGGTGGAATTCTATAGAAGCTATGGGTTTCCAACATTTTCTTTTCCCTTTTAACCTGCAAAGTCCATGCATTTCCAAAATTCTTAATTCACCTTTGAGTTTCTATTAATATTCTTTAATCATGAGTGGTCAATATATTTTCTCCTAACTTCCATGTCATGCAGGAGCTATTATAAGTGCACCAATGCTGGATGCCCTGTCAGGAAACACGTGGAGAGGGCTTCTCATGATCCCAAAGCTGTTATCACCACTTATGAAGGAAAACATAATCACGACGTACCTGCTGCAAGGTCTAATAACCATGAAATGGCAGGATCCACACTTGCAACTGGCGGCTCAAGGATCAGAGCAGAAGAGACTTACTCTATTAATCTGGATCTAGGTGTTGGTATTGGATATGGTGTGGAGAATGGGAACAATAGGCAACTTCACACCGTCCATAACCAAGTTCAAGTTTCACGTTCCGGTATGATGGTAGTGCAACCAGCTGCAATTGCGGCGCATTATGGTATTGTAAATGGTGGCATGAGCCGGTTTGGACCTATAGATAATCATGTTCAAGGACATGGTTTTGAGACTTTGCCTTTACAACCTTCTACTCAATTTCCTCAAAACTATGGAAAGATACTCTTGGGCCCATGATTGTTTCTACCTCCAAGTATAAGCTTAACAATAAGAAGCCACCATCTATTTTTTTCTTGAATATTGGTGGATTACAAAAGATATCTCTAGTTGAAGTATAGATACTTGCCCTCATACTTGTAGGACCCATCATGCTGTATTATACAACTGCTCAGAAAAATGTTGCACTTCCTTTGTACATATCAACAGTATATTAGGAAGTGAACAACAGTGGATGTCTGAGCAAATATCCACCTCCAATATCTTTATCCCCATGAATAGGCAAATTTTGATTGGGCTACTATGAGCACTTGAATCAATGGCATTTTCTAGGAATTATGTAATTCAATATGTTCTATTTACGGTAACTAGGAGGCAAGCACATGGCAAATGTATTTTTTGAAAAAAACTATTATGGCAAAGATAATATGAAAGTGCTATGAGAGACCTTCATCTCTTTTTCCTTTGATACACATCGTACACGTGATTGTTATCTATCATGCAAATGGTGATTGCAGAATCTCCTTTTACTGGTTTCCCCTATCGCTCTAGCATACACAACCATAGACGTGCGTTTTAAAGGCTGGCTATTTACGGGTTTAAATTATATACGCTAGCATTCTAAAAACTTTTTATGATATATCAGTGCAACTTAATCAGTTGTGTTCCATTGAGAATTTAACCCTATATCAGTCTGATTCGTCTCTAAAGAAAAAAAAAAAAGAAAGACCAGTTGTGTTATTATAGATGAACTTTACTGGGTAGTGTACAAAAAGTTATATACCGTCAGTTCAGAAAACTTAAAGGAAAGAAATATATAGCAAGATTGGTGTCCAGCCTAAGAATCTGTTATAATGATAAAAAGGTTTGAATAGGACGAAAGTGATTCATATAGTAATAACCTGCTATAGTTGGTTAAATTGAACTAATGGTGTAAAGAATCTTTATGCATATATATAACTTAAATCGGGTTTAAGTCATATACGCTAACAGACCTAATTTCTGATACAGGCATATCCGGCCTCAATATAATCAACTTTGGGTCATATGTAGTTGAACGGCAACAACTCACTCTTGTCTCTTTATATGAAGAAAGAAAATAAAAACTGATACAGGTTCTAAAAAGATTATAGTAAGGTGCTCTTAACTCAATACGAAAAGAAAGGTCTACCTTTTACCATTATCAAGCTAGAAGTTACATGCACCTACTTACAGGTAAGGTAGGGTACTATTTCCAGGCACAAGAGGCAACTAAATCTCGATTCATCCAGCCAAGATAAAGAGCGCCATTTCTCTCATCAAGCGTATAACTTTGGTAGTAATTCTCCAGCAGGGTCTTGATTGTAGCATTTACTGAGGAGCTTAATGGATATGGATTGAACCCAGCCATAAGAAATCGTGACCTCCACCTTTCAAGAAGCTCATGACGCTCCACTCTTTCTGCCCCTTCACATGCTATTATGTTCACAATTTCCCGGGCCAGGCAATGTTGCTCAACGTTAATTCGTTGCTTATGGTCCCTAGGTAGAGCAACATCTATTGATTCAAATATAGATAGGTAGTAGTTCAGTGTCTCCAAAAACCTGGGAAAGAACTGGACTGTATTAGTGTTGGACTCTTGCTCCACTAAGGTCACAATCTTGGGAGACAAGCTCTTAACCATTCTCAGAAGTCTGTCTCTGTGATTTTGAGTGCCAACACTCTCATCAGGCATATGGTGCAAGACAAGTGCAAAATTCACGGCCAATGGTTCGCCACGCCGAACCTTAAGATGCTCAATCTCAACATCCGAGCAAGAAGCAGCTACGGGATGAAATTCAAAAGGTACATTGCAAGATGCAGCAATGCTTGATAACCTCCGACCAACAATTTCAATCCCTCCTCCTCTGGCATAAGCTGACGTGGAATCATCAATCCCTGTAATGCGGATTCGTGGGGGTCCACCTGGCCGGGCTGCAAGAGCATGGATTAGGGTGATCCACTGGCTGCCCTGGGAAATCTGAAAATCAATTATATGAATTGTGTTCTCTTCTTTCATGGCATCAACAATTGCACCATTTGCTGACAAATATCCAAACTTGAAGTATGGGCAGATTTCATAAAGCAAATGCATGTATGACATTAGCTCAACGCTAGTTGGCTCTTTGCACCTTAGGGACTTGTAGATGGAGCTTCCTGAGGAGGCCAATCTGGCAACTAATCCTTCCAGCATATATGCTCCTAAGCGTTGTATTGGAGAACCGCAAACTGATACCACTGTGCGTAGTTCTGACATTAACCATTCAGCTGTTACTAAATTATTATCTGCTATTGCTTTAGCACAGGCAATAAGCACTTGTTTCAAATCTCCATTAGGCATCATCTCCATCATATCAACCCATTTACCTGACTCGGACGAAATTTGATTGGCTGCAGCCAATGGAGTAGTATTATATGACTCCAAGCTTTCTGAATCAGGCCCCAGCATTGCAGTTTCGAGTTCCTTTAGCTTGTGCTTCAGGCCAGTACCATCACTAGTGAAGCACGAACTGTTACCTGACGAGTGGTACGTATCATTAGGAGAATGATGCATGTCCGAAGGACATGAATCAGAACCTTGGTGCATCATGGAATTGTCATCAGCAAAGAAAGTATCAACAGGAGGAGAATCGGAGACAAGTTCACTAGAATTTCCAGTGGATGATTCAACATAGCAGTATTGGTTGTGTTTTAAGGCAGAGAATCGTGTCTGCTGACCACAATCAGCATAAAGTAATTGGTTGTTATTCGGGTTGTTAATGGAAGGCAGAAAAAAAGATTCCTGATCCTCGACAGGTTGGTTATAGAACCTGTTAAACTCATTGATATCCTTCGCGTTTTGAGAAGGCCTCATTGTGAAATCAATTTAAATATCCAGAAGATAATAGTACCAATTCCAGCATACAACCTGGTTGAATTCGTTAACAGAAAGTTCTCCAGCTCCAAGCTTTAAAATTCACATCCATATCTGCAATTGTCAATAATGAGTAATGAGAAATCTGAAAAAAACCAACTATAAAGAAATTTAGGAGTGTAAAGTGTTGCAGAAATGTTTTTGTTCATAAGTCCTAAAAAGCAGTTGGACCAATGTTGCAACCTTTTCTTTTCATAAATTTTTTAAAAGGTCTAGGTTGAAGGGTTAGGTCCCTGCAGCCTTGGCCCTTTAGATCTTCCATAAAAAGACTGAAAACCAAAACTTTCATGATTATAAATAAAATTCATTAAAGTCATCTCAGATTTACTGGCAAATAAATAACTCCCATCAACAGATAATGGAAAAAGCAGTCTCAGATGCTCTTTAAAAGTAACAAACAACTGAAGCTTACCAACAGCAGATATTAGCTAAACATAAAGAAAATAACCCCAAAAAACAAAAAGAACCAAGAACAACAAAAACGAAAGGGAAGAGTAAGTAAGATGCAAAAGGGGTTTCAAGTTTATACAAAAAGATCCAATTTTTTCAAGAATTCAATCAACCTAAATCTTTAGAGGAAAATGGGGTTTTAAGTTTATCAAAAAAGATCCAATTTTTTCAAGAATTAAATCTTCAGATTATCACATAAAGTTTAAAAAGGAAGAAATACCTGATACTCAGAGGAGATATCTTTAAGCAGAAATCCAAGAACATGAGTAAAGCAATTATCAAAAAATGCTAACTTTAAACACGGCATATTCCATTTTAGGAAGCCCTCAAGTCTTGGCCACTCGTGATGAAAAAGCCAGCCAGCTGAAAAAAAATGACTAATGAAAGTCAAAACAAAAAATTCACAGCAATGGGGCCTCAAGGGAGAGCATCAATCTTGATTTTTTCAACTTTGCAATAATATTCAGAAAAAAATAGTTTTGCTGATTTTTGTCCTTGACTTTGGAAGATATTTTTAGTCAGCATTAAACGTACAATAATCATTGACTATTTGACTCCATAATATGGATTAAGGAGTAGCGAGGTAGGTGAGTGCAACATTAGTGAAGGCCAAAAAAATAAAAATACATGGTGTTTGCATTAAATAAATAAATTACAAAATTTTGTGTGGGTATAAATTGTTTATCAGTTAATATTAAATACTATGTACTCTTATTTCTTCCAATATTATGATTAAATTTGCTGATAATATTAGAAATCAGAAACTTTTGACTGTTACAAGAACCCCATACCTAACTCACGGCAAAAGAATAACTATTGCATTTATTATTAGCAAATTAATGCCAACCTTTGGCCATCCCCTACATTAAATAATGTTCTACGTTAAATAATCTCCTTTCGTTGTCCATAACTGACCGTCTTATTTTCTCTCTTAGGATATCTTAAAATTGTAGTAGTATCTGTTTCTTAAGATAATTTTTTTTTGCAACACTTGTAGTTTGTCATTACTCTAGGAAGTTAATACAACATTGCACCTACTTTTGTTTAAACAACATTCAAATTATTAAAAAGAAAAATGATTTCCACTTTCATATGGTATAATCCAACTCCTTTTTTTTAATAACTGCATCTAGACAACCGAACACACTTAACTGGATGATGAAGAGAATACTGTATTTCAAATTAAACAAATATTCCCTCTGATCGATAATAAGTAACTAATTTATTTTTTATTTTTGTTCAAAATAAGTATTTATTTACATAATCAAGAAGGAATTAATTTTATTTTTTTAAAATTTGCCCTCTTATTTAGATATTCCAATGTGTTAAGGTAACAATTAATTAAGGTTAATTTGAAAAATACATTTTTTTTTCTAAGAGTCCGTATTTTCTTAATAGGTGTGTCAAAGAAAAAATGATCACTTGTTATGGATCGGAGGGAGTATAAATTATTTCTTTCGATCTTTTATTTTTGTAAAGGCAATTTGTTTATATTGTTTGCGCTTTCGAGTTATATTATTTGTTTTGTTTTTGTTCTCTCTCTTTTAAGTCCAAATATATGAGAGTTTCCACGTGGACAAATTATTGTGATTATTAAGTTACTCAAGCTGCCTTTATAAAGAAATAAAGTTACTCAAAGCTTTGATCACTAGAAAATTGAATTGATCTCAATCGAGGGTATCTCCCACCCTTGTACCATTTTTTTACACCAAAAAAATGGTATAAACATCAAAATGGGGTACAAACTAACTCTAACGCATTACATTATTTTTATACCAAAAAAGAATCTCTCTTTTATATTCTTCTCTCTTCTATATTATATTACTTTCTTTTATTTAAATTAATTTTTTTATTTCATAAAACAAATCCAAACTTTTTTCTTTTTTACATATTCATATTAATCATATTCCTTTTTTATGTAACCATTTAATATAAAAAATTATACCATAAATTTTTAAATAACATAAATTATAAGCAAATATTATTTTATACCTACCAAAGTACTAAATTATTGTTGTAATTTTCTCATCCCATTATATTATTTAGTGTATTTTAAATTTTAATCTATGTCAATCATTACTGTATTAAATATTTATTTTTACGTTATTTAATGAATATTTTATTAACAGCATATTATATTTTATATTTGCAATTTTTATTTTTGTGATGGTTATATTTTTTATACAATTATAACTTATAATAAAATTAACTTACAATTTTATATAAAAATAATATATACGAAAATTGATTTATAAAAATTATACACCAACTTAAGATGTAAAATTAGTTTTATAAAGATATTACATAAAAAGTATAAGTAATTATTGCTCTTTTGCTTAACTCGATTGCGGTAAAGCACCAACCCGTTTTTAGATAAAATGGTATCCAATGGATTAAATCCTTGTAATCTCTTTGATAACCTTGATCGTATTTCTAGTCTTCTTCTTATTAATTGTCATAAAGCTCTTAAAGATTTTACTAATAAATATATCAAATCAGCAAAGCAAATGTGCAATTGAGCTCGAGAAGAGCTCCAATTACGTGAGTGGAGACTTGGAAGAGAAGACTGAAAACGAGAGCATTTGCAAGAGGAAGGAAAAGTGAATTTGGAAATGAAAGTCTCAATCACATTAGCTCAACTAAAATGTATATATACAATGCAAAAGCAAAAGAGAATCAGAGGAAAAACTAACGGAGCCCAAACCCCAACTAACTGACTAACTAACTTTAGGAAGTCTAACTAACTCAACTAACTACCTAACTGCTTGGTACTACTCGCAATGCTATAAGTACAACTACCCTAAACAAATATAAATAATACAATACAATGTCTGTATCCTAGTGATCTCAATACCCCCCCCCCCCTAAGTTGGAGGTGAAGTTGTCACTGCCAACTTGCTGAGAATGTTGGAATATTTGATCCCAGTTAGTGCTTTAGTGAGAATGTCGGCAAGTTGATGATCAATCCTAATATGATGTAGAGAAATGAGCCCTTCCTGTAGTTTGTTTCGAACAAAATGGCAGTCTATCTCAATATGTTTCGTTCGTTCATGGAACACTGGGTTCCTTCCTTTGTGAAGTGTTGATTGACTGTCACAGAAGACTGCAATAGGACTGGAGAAAGGGACTGTGAGCTCTTCAAGTAGCCTTTGTAACCACACTAGCTCACCAACCACATTTCTAATGGACATGTACTCTGCTTCAGCTAACGACAAGGAAATAGTTTCCCGTTTCTTTGATTTCCAGCTGATAGGGCTATCTCCCAATAGAACAACATACCCAGTAGTTGACTTCCTCGAGTCTGGTCATGATGCCCAATCAGAATCACAGTATGCTTTCACTGTATAATCAGCATTTTTGGAGAAGAAGGCTCCTAGGCTAGGATCAGCTTTCAAGTACCTCAATAGGTGATATGCTGCCTTCAAGTGTGGTTCCCTTGGATCTTGCATGAACTGGCTTAGATGCTGAACACTAAAAGCAATATCCAATCTTGTGTTAGTCAGAAAATTCAATTTCCCAACCAACTTTCTATAACAATTGGGATCTAATAAGAGAGGACCTTCTTTTGCTTTTAACTTCACATTTGAATCAAGGGGAGATGATAAGGAACTACAGCTGAGACAGTTATACTCTTTCAAAAGGTCAATGACAAATTTTCTTTGGGAAATGATGACCCCATCATCCTTATAAAGAATTTTAAGGCCAGGGAAGTACTGAAGTTTCCCTAGATCTTTGATTTTGAAGCTATCATATAAAAACTTCTTCAAAAGCTTTATTTCTTCAAGATCTGTTCCTGTGAGTATCACATCATCGACATATACTGCTATATATACCAAGGATGTCCCATTCTTCTTGTAGAACAATGAATAACCATGCATGGATTGTTCTTAACCTCTGGAGCATAGTGCTTCTGTCAGTTTAGCATACCATTGTCTGGTGGCTTGTTTCAAGCCATATAGAGACTTGTTTAGCCTACAGACTGATCTTGGTTCAGATACTACCAGTCCAGGAGGGACCTCCATAAACACTTCTTCATTTAAATCTCCATGAAGAAAAACATTGTTTACATCTAGCTGAAACATGTTCCACTCTCTTTTGACCACTATAGCTATGAGTCCTCTTACAATGGTCATCTTTACCACTGGTGAGAAAGTTTCTGTGTAGTCTATTCCCTCTTGTTGTGTGTATCCTTTTACTACCAAACGAGCCTTAAACCTTTTAACACTTTCATCAGCTTTATGTTTCACTTTATACACCCACCTGCAGCCTATGGCTTTCTTCCCTGCTGGTAGTGGGACTAAATCCCATGTGTTATTGGCATGCAATGCCTCAAACTCTTTGTCATAGCCACATGCTTAGCAGGATTGATAGTTGTTTCTTCATATGAAGAAGGTTCATTATCTTGACAGACACTTTGCATCAATGATTGACTATCATGGATTAGAACCTCAGGGGAAACAGAATGATGATTTGACAACAGTGTATTTAAATATGGTATACAACTGTTTGAACGCAATTTAGGTACATTGTGAATGTAATCATTCAAGTATGCAGGTGTTTTGATTTCTCTTTGGGTTCTCCTAAGATTGGGACTATTCTGATTACTTGTTTGAGGAGAGTGATTACTCAAAACTAGTTCATTAAGGTTTGATGTTGGAGATGACTCTAGAAATGGAGGATTATAAAAAATGTGATTGTTACGGGGTGATGTGGATGTGATGCTAGTAGGTGATATTTCATTGTTACTAGCAGGTGACAGTTCATTGTCCATGTGACTTGCACCATCTAGATTGCTTTCTATATTGGTTTGAATATTGTTATCAGTATCATCCACAAAGTCAACAAAAGGGACACATTTTAGCACAGAAGGAAAAGAAGAAACATTTGGAACAATTGCAAGGGGAAAGATATTTTCATGGAAAGATACATCTCTTGATAGTTGAATCTTCTTGGTAGCAAGACTCAGAACTTTGTACCCTTTGACTCCAAAGGGATAGCCTATGAAAATATGTGGAGTAGCTCTAGGTTCAAACTTGTCCCTATGGACTTTAAGTAATTTGGGTAACACGGGTAGCCAAAACTTCTCATTTGAGAATACAATGGTTTCTTTTTGTATAGGATCTCAAAAGGACATTTGTTTCTAAGGTATATAGTGGGTAGTCTGTTTATGATGTAGGTTGCTGTTAGCACACATTCTCCCCAGTATTTCAAAGGTAGTTTTGACTGGAATAGGAGTGCCCTAGCTGTTTCAAGCAAATACTTATGTTTTCTCTCCACCACACTATTCTGTTGTGGTGTGTATGGGCAGGATTTTTGGTGAATGATCCCTTTGACTGAAAAAAGTGTTACTTTCTGTGTTGACAAACTCTAAACCATTGTCTGTTCTTATGGTTTTTATGGTAGTCTTGAACTGATTTTCTATCATTGAAATAAAGGCTTTAATGACTTGAATTGCATTGCTCTTGCAAGTTAAAAGATGTGTCCATGTAGTTCTGCTGAAATCATCAATCATGGTGATGAAATACTTGTAGTTATCATGAGTGTTAGTGTGATAAAGTCCCCAAAGATCGACATGCAACAATTCAAAAATATTACTGGAAGTGCTGGTTCTTTAAGGAAAAGGTAGTCAGTTTTGTCTGGCCATAGGGCATATTGAGCACACAAAAGGTTGTTATTCTCTTCATTTTCACAAAAGGCACATGCCTAAGTCTATTGTTCCACAGAATATCATTCTCATGAGATGTATGGGAATTCAGAGAAACACAACTTCTAACTTTATTTACAGATGATGGAACATTTACGTCAGTATCACTACTAGCAGATGTTATTTTATTCAAAAAGAGATTACGTACAGATGGAAAGTAAGCATCTTGGAAATCACATGGGTGAACAGACAAACAAGGAACGAAAGACTTGATTGTAATAGAAGAAGAACTGGCATCTTTGTGTTTCAAGCATTGAGAGCACAAGAGGTAAAGTCCATCCTTGACTCTACCAATCTCCAGAGGCCTCTTCAGTGAAGGGGCCTGCAACATACAAATACCATCAGTGAAGAATGCAATTCCTCTGAGATGTAAGGTCAACAAATGAATAGAAATGAGATTGTATTTAAAAGAAGGGACAAAGAGGACTTTGTGTAACACAATCCTAGGTGCAAGTTTCACACTTCCAACTACTATTACTCGAACTTTGTAACCATTTGGTAATACGACTAATAGGGGATAAGGTAAGATAGTAATGTCACACATTGAAGATCTATTGAAGGTCATGTGATTTGAGGCCCCTGAATCTAGTATCCATGTATCAATCTTAGATTTAAAGCACCTACATGACAATTTACCAAAATCAACTAAAGAGGTACAGACTATAATACCTGCAAAGTTGGCAGCTCCAGAGCTCAAGTTCAGACTGTTGGGATCCTCCCCTCCACTACTGGTTTTGAAGTGTTGCAGCAAGCTCATGAGTTGACCATATTGTTCTTTGGTGAAACTCATTCCCTGACTCTCATTATGGTGCTCACCCTCATCTCCATTGTTAGTCATCATATCAGTTGGAGGACCATGAACATTTGCTACTGTTCTTTTTCCTCTATTGAACCTGAAATCTTGATTGGGATTTTGAAAGATCTGATTAGCTCCTTGAAACCTCTGATTGTTATTTTGGAAAGGTTGGTTAGAGTTCTGGAAGCCTTGAGGATATCCATGGAGTTTATAGCATTTATCTTTGGTATGTCCCGGCTTTCTACAATGCTCACACACAGGACGAGGTCTACTATTGGATGTATAGTTGTTTCCTGGGTTATAATTGGTCTTGAAAGTGGGTTGCTTAGAGGTATTTACATTTAAAGAGACAGACTCGATCATCAGTTGGTTGTTAGGTTTGATCTCTCTTTGTTTCTCCTCTTGAATCAGCAAAGAGAAGGCTGGGGCCAAAGATGGCAGGGGATTTATCGTGAGAATGCTCCCCCTTGCCATAGTGTACACTTCAATAAATATCATAAGGAACTGGATCAATCGTCTATCTTGTTCAGCTTTGTGCATGTTCTCCTTGGCTCCACAAGTACAATTACAACTGCATTGTGTTTTTGCACTTAAAGTGCTAAATTCTTCCCACAACTTCTTCATCATAGTATAGTACCCAGTAATATCTAGTGTTCCCTGCGACAGATCATTAATCTCTTTCTGAACTTGGTACAGGTTTGCGCCAATCGTCTGATCATAACGATCCTCCAGCTCTTTCCACAACTCGACAGAATCATTAACGTATTCCACACTATCAGCAATTTCCTTCCCCAAGGAATTCAAAATCCATGAGGTGACCATATCATCACATCTCTCCCATAGTCTATACTTTGGAGATTCTAGATCTGGTTTCTTACAATCACCATTAATGAAACCTAGTTTATTTTTAACTGACAGTGCTTGAAGCACACTCCGTCTCCAAGATTTGTATCCAATCCCATTAAAGGGGACTGGTACCACTATTGCACCAGGATTATCCGATGGATGCATGTATAATGGACTATTTGAGTCAATATTGGACTCCTTGCTTGAGTCCACATTGATGTGTTCGATTTCTTCATCATTAGCCATGAGGATTACTCAATCAACAGTATTTGAGATGAGAAGAAGAAAAGAGAAACAGAGATCTAAGAACCCTAACTTTTCGCAAAGACGGAAATTACCTGCAATTGAGATGCGCAGATCAAGCTAACGATGGTCTACACCAATCTTATGCGCATAGGATCAACTATGATCTAATACCATATCAAATTAGCAAAGCAAATATGCAATTGAGCTCAAGAAGAGCTCCAATTACGTGAGTGGAGACTTGGAGGAGAAGACTGAAAACGAGAGCATTTGCAAGATGAAGGAAAAGTGAATTTGGAAATGAAAGTCCCAATCACATTAGCTCAACTAAAGTGTATATATACAATGCAAAAGCAGAAGAGAATTAGAGGAAAAACTAACGGAGCCCATACCCCAACTAACTGACTAACTAACTTTAGGAAATCTAACTAACTCAACTAACTATTTGGTACTACTCGTAATGCTATAAGTACAACTACCCTAAACAAATATAAATAATACAAAATACAATGTCTGTATCCTAGTGATCTCAATAAAATCAAATCCACATGCCTCTCAAAATAAATAGAAGTAAAATTATCTCCAAAATTCTCTTCTTTGACAGATCAGCCACCGGTGGACCCTTCTTTCTTGTTCTCCTCTCCCTCTCTTTATTTGTACTTGATCACTTACACAAATCAGGATTTAGAGCTTATGGGTTCGAGGTTCTAATTCTTTTAAGTTACTGGGTTCTAAATTAATAATTTTTACATATTCAATAAATTTCTTAAGACAAATACATGATCTGGATCAAATTTCAATAAATTTATGACACTGTCGATCTCAATCTGGCATACAGCAGCTATACACCATTCCCTTTGTAGAAATGTTGAAAAAGACAGACAATGGATACAAAGACTAAAACTAACTCTAATACATAATGCAGGGATCTCCACAACCTAGTTGTGAATCCTTCAGTCACCCACCTTCGCACAAAACAAGTCGGATAGACTTCGTTTCATGCCACATTCTGTTGAAAACAATCCATCAAACGGCAAAAGGAAAATTGAAAATTAGGCTGACGCGCACACACATGTAAAGGTGGTCCTCACCTGCCAAATCGTGAATATGAGGCTCAGACCAATGCAAGTATGTAACCAAGGAGGGCTAATAAAGCAATCTGCTCCAGAGAGCAATCCTGATTTAGCAAAAAGTACATTTTTAGAGGTGCATACCGAAACACCACAGGCAAATATAAAAGAAAATAATAAACTACAAAAGATTAAGAAGTGTTTGCCAACACGAATTTTCTCATGCTAGCTAAGTTCTCCCTCTCTTTTAAAGATGAAACAATAGTTGAATCTTTAGGACTGCCTGTCCCTTGAGCATGACATCATCTTCAACAAGGATGAGCACTTGCTTCAATATCCGACCTACACTAAAAGTGTTAGCATCAAGAGCTTAAAAGCAAGTCATTGCCTGCAATACGCCCTCGTTAAGAAGCATTCCCGCTTCTCAATTAACCGACTCCCTGCAAACAGGGGCGTATCTAGAATAGAAACTTCGAGTTCATCTGAACCCATAGTATTGGCTCAAACCCTGTATATTTATCAAAAAACTCAATAAATAAGTACAAATAATAGATTTTGAACCCAGTAAATTAGATGGGATGTAGTAGAATTTCGAATATGAATCCATAAAGTTCAAATCTTGGATCCGCCTCTACCTGCAAAAGCATCTGTTTCTACTCGTGAAGATGAGTTACTATGCAGATGGAGAATATTTAGCTGTTCTAGTTCAGATTTATTGCTTCTTTGAATTTTTACAACTGCCTTCATAAAATTTAGCTAGTCTTACACTGCTAAGCTAAGTGTCAAAAGTATTTTTTTTTTCCTCTGAGATGTATCGTAAATATGCTAATCTTTTAGTATTCTTCCATAATAAGTCTAAATATAAGTGCTCTCATGAACATCATTCTTGTCATCGTTGCTATTCTCTTTTAGCATTTTTACCAGATGAAACGTAATAAAAGAAACTTTCACAAGAATGGTTTGCTTCTTGGAAAATAAATGTTCAAGTGCTAAAATGTTCTTTTTGGGGTACTTTTCCATTTTCCTCCCTTATATCATTTCCAAGTGGAAAAACAAACATGACAGCGTTATTAATTAAACAGGAAAGTTTTCTAGTTCAAAAGTTAAAGCTTAGGGCAATACACTGATGAAACAAACTGAGTGATTCAGCTTCAAGAAGCTAAAGAAGGATGTGATAGTAAGAATAAATCAAAAGACCAGCCCCATCATGATCCTATATTACTGGTATAACTCTCGTGAAGCTGCTTAATAGGACTCCGCCTCGTTCCCATCCTATCCTCCTCGTTTTAAAAAAGCAGAGACAGAACAAGTCCAAAGAAGAAAATGAAACTCCAGTATACTTCAATGAACAACTGGTGCAATGAAGAATGTGAAGAGCATATGATAAACTTTATTCACAAATACAAGAGAAAAATTTGCATAATCAAATCATCAACTATTAGCACGTCAACAAGAGACTTAATTCATAGCAAAACAAGCAATTATAGAGTGACGAAGTAACCACATACTGATATTATTGACAATAAAATTTTCAACAAAGTTAACATATAGAAAAGAGAAATGCTACTATTTTCTTAACATGTCCAAAAAAATATAAATCCAGAAAAGGGTCCTGAAATAAAAGATAAAGTAGTTAAATCTTGTACTTGTACTTGGCTACCTCTCCTTCATTGGGGAAAAATCCCATGAGCCTGCCAGCAGAATTCTGGTAAGCGTACATGAAACCACCCATTACCCCAATTAAACCTCCTGTCACCATTGACGGTCCCCTAATCCTTGGTTTTATTCCTGGCCATATTCAAAAAAGAATTATCATTAACAAAGCTCAGTCGATAGATTGATTAATAAGAAATAAAAGAGAGGTAGGAGTATACTGGAGAGGTAGCCGACGGTGACGGAAATGCCGGAGATGGTGGTGAGACGGAGGTAATCAAGTGTGTTGAAATTGGTACGGTCTTAGTAAAAGGTGGGTTTCGATCTATAACCGGGTATTCGGGCTTTGTCGATGCTGTTATGTCTGTGTTCATCTTCCTTCTTCTTTCCTCTTAGCTGCTGCTCTTTCTAGTCACTCTCGGGACACTGACCTGGTTTTTAATCGGAAAATGCAATTTCACATTGATTAGAGGCGCGTGGATCCATCATTCACAACTCGTCAAAATAGCCATTTTTAGAGGTGATTATTAAAAAATCTAAGTTATTCAAAAATAGCCACTACATATGTGTAGATAAAAGTACAACAACAACAAACTCATTATGATCCCAACAGGTAGGATTTGGGGTGGGTAGTCTGTATGCAGACCTTATCCCTACCTAATGCAAATAGAGAGGTTGTTTCCAATAGACTCTCGGTTCAGGAAGGGCAAGAATAAGAAGAGGAATGCAAGTAAGGAAGAAAGAAAGAAGAGAAAAGAAAAAGGGAGAGATAAAGATAAGTAGTAACAAATAATAGCAACGGGAAATACAATACCTGAGGCGAACAAAACCACATAATGTTATAAAAATCTAAGAATATGAAGGGACATGCATGTTACTAAGATTATCGGTGACCAACTAAAAACTACCCATTAACATTCTACCTTAATCCTCGATCTCCACACCCTCCTATCATGATCATGTCATCAGTGAGCTGAAGCAGCGCCATGTCCTCTCTAATTACCTCTCCCCAGTACTTCTTAGGCCTACCTCGACCTCTTCTCAAACTCCCCATGGCCAACCTCTCACACATCCCGATAGGAGCATCAATGCTTCTTCTCTTAACATGTCCGAACCATCTCAGCCTCGACTCTCGCATTTTGTCCTCCATGGAGGCTACTCCCACTCTGGCCCGAATAACTTCATTCTTAATCCTATCTCTCCTGATACACCCACACATCCATCTCAACATTCTCATCTCTGCTACGTTCATCTTCTACACATGGGAGTTCTTGACTGGCCAACACTCAACCCCATACAGCATAGCCGGTCGAACCACCACACGATAAAACTTACTCTTAAGTTTTAGCGGCACATTCTTATTATATAAAACACTGGAAGCGAGCCTCCACTTCATCCATCCCGCTCCGATGCAATGTGCAACATCTTCATTAATCTCCCTGTTACCCTGGATAATAGACCCGAGATACTTAAAACTCGCTCTTTTGGGGATAACTTGAGCAGCAAGCTTAACCTCTACGTCTGCATCATGGGTCCCGTCACTGAATTTGCACTCCAAGTATTCTGTCTTAGTTCTACTCAGTTTGAAACCTTTAGACTCCAAAGTCTGTCTCCAAACCTCCAACCTCGTGTTAACTCCACTTTGCGTCTCGTCAATTAACACTATATCATCGATAAATAGCATGCACTAAGGCACATCCCCTTGGATGTGTCGCGAGAGTACATCCATCGCCTGGGCTAAGAGCCGATCCCAGGTGCAACCTCATCTCCACAGGGAAATGCTCTGAGTCACCACCCATAGTCCTCACCCGAGTCTTAGCATCATTATACATATCCTTAATCACCCTAATGTATGCTACCGGAACACTGCTAACCTCCAAACACCTCCACAAGACCTCCCTCGGGACTTTATCGTACGCTTTCTCAAGGTCAATAAACACCATATGTAAATCCTTCTTCCTTTTCCTGTATTGCTCCACTAATTTCCTTACCAGATGAATCGCTTCCGTAGTCGAACGTCCCGGCATGAATTCAAACTAATTCTCGTAAATAGACACGCGCCTTCTCACCCTAGCCTCCACCACCCTCTCTCAAACTTTCATAGTGTGACTCAACAACTTGATACCCCTATAATTGTTGCAATTTTGGATATCACCCTTGTTCTTGTAAAGTGAAACCATCGTACTTGAAATACAGAAAGTTCAAGTATAATATGTTGGATTATGAAACTCCTACGTATAAACTTTCACCATATTATATTAGAATTCCAGCACGTTATAA